AGGGGTAAAAAGTGTAACTATTGCACTGTGTTGTACAGCTGAAACTAACTCTAAAAAATGTGTATTTCATAATAAAAAATAATTTTAAAAAAAGTACAAGAAACAATAGTAAATGGGAGGTATGGAACACATGTATAGGCTTCTCTTCCAAGAATGACACAACTTCTTCAAGATCGATAGGAAAGGGAAAGGAGTCAAGGCCAGTATGAATACAGTAGAGAGGCATCGGCATTTTTATTTACTTTCCCCAAGCATGAGGCCCTGAGCATATTTTTTTTTTAAGCTGAGCCATCCTGCCACCTGTTGGCAGCTCAGCAGCTGCTCAGCTCGGGCCAGGACTCGAACCACTGTTGCTCAGAGCTCGCACTCTTGAGCGCCTGAGCGTTTTGTTTGTTTGTTTGTTTGTTTTTAAGCTGAGCCATCCTGCCACCTGCTGGCAGCTCAGCAGCTGCTCAGCTCGGGCCAGGCATCAAACGGCTGTTGCTCAGAGCTCAAACTCTTGAGCAAGCTCTTAACCAACTGAGCCACTTGGCCAGCCCGCCTGAGCGTATTTTTATATTGAGTAGAGAAAAGATAAAGTTATAGAAGAGGCAGAAAAGACAGGAAGACGTAGATTTCCGGAGAAGGTGTAATCTAGACACTGGTGCAGGAATCGGCTGTGGTCAGAGGCACGATTCCCCTAGGGAGGTGAGAAGGGAAGCCATGCACAGGAGAGATGTAAATAAATGGGTAAGCATGAGGACCAAGCAACACAGGAAGAAGGCTATTTTTGCCATGAAACTCTGCTGAGATATCAGTGGCATGACAAGATCACACGCAACTTCCCCAGGGCCACAAGGCTGCTATGTGTCAGCTAGGTCTTAAGCCCAGGCAGACAGAGCCTAGAATGCACACGTACCTAACAACTCCCCTGCAGGAGTGGCGAAGAGTGTGATAGGGCTGGAACGGGAGAGAGAAGGATCACAGATTAAAAGCCTCCATGAATCCCAAGCTTATAGAGGCCACAAGAAAATTTCCACAAACTGCAGAGGCAGTGGTCACCTAGTTGTCTGCAAGTGGCCGTGACCCCCATCTGGCCAGCTGTTGGCACCCACCTGGGCAGGAGCTTGGGGAGAGGCCTCTCTTTGAAGTCTGTAACTCCAGGCTGTGTTCCAATGGGTAGATCAGCTCTGGTTTGGGCAAAGGACAGCCTGTTCACAGAGAAACAAAGAGGACATAGGGATTTTGGTGAGAAGAAAACCTCTCAGTCTAGGCTGTGACTTCAGGATGTGGAGGAGACCTTGGAATGAAGTTGTTTCCATCCATGCAAACAAAATGCTGTGATCTGGAAACCAACGGTGAAAACACCATTGTTAGGACCCAGACTGTCGGCGTTAGTGCTGGCTGCATAGACCGCACCAGTTCACTTTTATCTCCATGTGTACAATCCCAACACAGAGATGCTTTCTAACTAATCCAAGTCAGGCCTCAAGCTCCCTGTGCATCAGCAACCCCAGGGCTCCTGGTTGCCACCAGACCCATTCAAACAAAACCTCTGCGCAAGGCCCGGGCATCAGTACATTTTACACACGCCCCAGGTGATGGTGACCCACCTGGTACATTAAAAAGCCCTGGTCTCCGTCATCTCACAGATGACAGCCCTGATCATCAGTAGTCTGAGGTGGGCAGGTGACCCATGCGAGCCACTCTGAGTAACAAGAGAGCTTATTCCAGGAAGGGCCGAATGAGGTGCCTACAGCTCCTGTCATCCTGGAGCATGCTGAGACTCCTGTGAGGGAACCAGCCTGAGCATCACGACCAAGAACAGGAAGTGAAGACACATAACTGGGCTGGTACCCTCCAACCCAGGAGCCTGCCCACCTCTGAGCTTCTTGTTAGGTGAGAGGCTGAATTTCCTTCAGGGTGAAGGCTGAGCTGGTGTGTCATGTGTAGCCAAACACATGTTGACAAATGTGGAGGGAAAAGACTCTGTGTAGAAGTCAATGGCAGTGGAGCTAGGACCACAGAAAACTCATCTGCAGATCCTGAGCCAAAGCTCAGGGTTCACCTGTCATCCTTAAGCAAATGTTCACTCACATCTGCCACACGCCCAGCACAGGGCTCGGTGATGGGGCAGTGGAAAGGTGAACAAGATCATCCTTCAGTGCTGTCAGGAGCCATTCTCCCTGTGACCTCAGGGCCTTTGCACTGTCAGCCCTTCTACCTGCAAGGCTGTTCTGACTCCTACCTAGCTCCTTCTAGCTAACTCTAGCTCTTTGGGTCTCAGCTCAAATGTCACTTCCTGAGAAGACTTCGCTAACTGTGGCTCCTGGGTCTAGGTGCTTCATTAATCTGCCACGTTGCTATGGAATTTTTAATGCTAATAGTAAGTAAAAAACTAACATTTAGGGGATTTCCCATTTCTGGTTCTGCATGTAAGGAGCTTGGCAGTTGCCACTCCATCCTAACAAGTAAAAAGCTGCACAGACTGAACTAACAAATCAACAACTCTTTTTGGAACAGTGACAGAGGGAAGCACACAGGGCAAACTGCTGCCCCCAAGACTGCAGAGACAGACAGCAAATACGGGGAGTCATGGCTTCCTAGAGCAGATTCATAACCAGAAACTGCGAGGGGACCACTGCCCGGGCAGGAAACCTGAGCTGTAAGAGATGAACTGTTGGAAGCTCAGTGCAGACAACTCCAGGGGGACCGAGTCAGAGAAGGGTCCTCAAAATATGAGAGTTACCTCTAGGAGCTCAACCAGGTTCCCACAATAAATACAAGAAAAACATCCCCTTGGGCTTCTGGCAGGGGAAGGGGAAAAAAAACAATTTTGAAATATACCAGAGCGCCATTCTTAATAAGGCCCACCTCCAGGAGAAACTACGGAGTTAATTGAGCATAACCTGCTGGGGTTTTAACAGCGTCTAAGTGACCTGGGAGAAGGGTGTACAATAGCAAGGATGATGCTGCTCTAAACTGTGGACTCTGGGTGACTATCATATGTCAGTGCATGTTGGGAGCTGACTGGGAACAGTCAGGGATCCTGGGCCAGCAAGCTGGCAAGCTACAGGCCTCCATGACAGGGTGAGCAGTGGGCAGTCCGAGACAGCCTAGTAAACGCTTCTACCCAGAGACGAGTGACAGCTCAACCTTCTGCCAATGCAAGTGTGAAGAATCAAAGACTAACCTGTTGCCAGCTAACACTTATGGACTAATGGACACTTTCGGTTTACCATACTTATCATTGCTAAGGAATGCCTTTTATGGAATTGATCCCTACAAAGAGGAAATTGCTTCCTCAACATAAGCTTTGAGCAAACAATAAACTGGGTCACTGTCTCTCCACTCAGCGGGCAAGTGGCCCTCCCGAGCCCAGCTTTCGTCTCTGAGTCTTTCTTTTCTCAGCTCCTGGCTCCGATCCCCCTCAGGTTTAGAAGGCTGCCCTGGTCGACTGGCAAGCGGGACTCGCCAAGGGCAGGCTCATCAACTATAACAAATATCCCATCTGGGGGAATGCTGATCATGGGGGAGGCTGTGCATGTGGGGGCAGGGAGTGTATGGGAAATCTCTGTACTTTCAATATTGATGTGAACCTAAAACTGCTGTAAAAAGTCTTAAAAAAACTCAAAACACTGATATTTATAGGGTGCAACAAAATCCTAGGGATTTCGCCAAGCAATTTAAAAGCATTATGTTTTTTTTAACTGAATTAAATGTATGCACTAATTTAGAAAACAAATGACATGTTTAAAACGTTGAGTCTTTTCATAAAGGAACAAGGTTAAGTGTCTTCATTGATCTAAGTCTTTTTTTTTTTTTGGTCCTAAGCAAAGTGTTCTATTCTTCCTGTGGGCATGAAAAATCCCATTTTAGGATTTCCTTATGGCATCCACATGAAGTACATACTCTGATGAGCACCATTTTATAGATGAAGAAACTGAGGCTCAGGCAGGTAAAATGATTTACTGAAATCATGGAAATGATGAATGGCTGAGCCAAGATGGAAACCAGGGTCTCATCATGTCTGGCATCTGGCCTATTTAACTACAAAGCTACATAACGTTGTTCCAGAAAATGCTGAGTCCAAAGTGAGGATGAGGACCAGGACAACGATAGTATCATTAAGAGTAATGATAGCAGCAGGAGTCACAAATGCTAAAGCACATAGCAAGGAATCACCAGGCATTGTTCTGAGCCATTTACCCTCATAACAGCCTGTGAAGTAGATACTATATCACCTAACTTTACCTATGAAATAGCTGAGGCACGAACTGGTTCAGTAACTTGCCCAGAACACACAGCTCATAAGTAGCAGAGTGGGGACTGGACACCAAGGGTCTGAGACCAACCCTGGACTTTCAAGTGCTACACTAAGGAGGAAGCTATGAATACTCCTGTGTGGGGCCAGCATCCTCAGACCAAGTGAGCTGTGGTGGTGAGAGGGGACAAGAGCAGAATTCAATTCTCAGAAAACAGGGGCCAGAGAGAGGCAGACTTGATGGCGCCAGGCTTCAGCATTTCACAAGCCACTAAAATAAAAAATTGCTAGCTCCACACAGTGATTTGGTCGAAATGACACATTTGCACAAACATCAAGTATCTATACTTATTAGCATTTCACAAAAGAGAGGACTTGTGCCATCAAAACCTGCAGAGTTGGGGGTGGGGGAGGTTGTCACTTTGAGGGGTAAAAAGTGTAACTATTGCACTGTGTTGTACACCTGAAACTAATTTATAAATAAATAAATAAATAAATAAATAAACTGCAGAGTTTTCCACAATAAAGATGTGTCTTTTAAATTGAATGTATTAAGCTTTATGAGGGACTCATTGAAATGGCCCTATTTTCCTTACTTGCAGAGGACAGCATGCTGGGAGAATTGAATAAGTGAAGAGAAACAATATAAACATACAGAAAGGAGTAGAGACGAGGAATGTGTTGGCCTCAGAAAGCAAGGACTGGATGACCACTTCCTTCCGCAAAATAGCTGCAGCAGAAAAATCCACTGTGAAAAGATGATGACACAGGCCAAACCACACAGAGAAGCCAGGATAAGAGACCCAGGAGTCATGCTTCTCTAGGTTCTTATATCTGTCCCTCAAGGATCTCAGCCGGAATGCACCTTTGGGTTCTGTAGGACACCCCTACTTTCTCCCAACACATCCTTCTCCTTTGGCTGTGACCAAAGGTAAAGTCTGTTTCTTGCCCAACCCTTGCTAAGAGATAGGAGGCCAGGCAAGAAGAGGTGAGTCCAGCAAAGAACTAAAGTTGTCGGGAGGAGGGAAGGCAGGCTAGAGGCCTTCTCAACCAACCAGCCTGGAGCCAGAGGGGAGAAGGAAGGAGGTGACAGGTCCCGCACATGGCAGAGTGGGGAGAACTTACCCAGAGACACCAGGAGCCTGCAGGTCTCCAGCATCACCTCCTGGTACAGGATTCTCTGGGGGGGTTCCAGCTGCCCCCACTCCTCCTGGGTAAAAGTCACAGCCACATCCTCAAAGGTCACAGTCATCTGGAAAGTCAAATAGAGGCAGTAGGGTGGGTCTTGGGGTTGTTGGATGGGATCAGAGACCTTTTCTCTTGATGGAAAAGGGGCAGAGAGCAAAGGCCTCCTGAGAGCTGCGCTCTGTGCTAGGCTTAAGGAGGCAGACACTGCTTTGCACTGATCACAGCAGTACAGGAGGCACAGTCCCCTACGCGGGAGTCAATGGAGGAGGGCATGAGGTCAGGACCATCCTGCGTGGACTGTGAGGCACAGAATGGTAAAAACTCTAAGATGTCACAGCAATGGGGAATAATAATGATAATGAAAATAATGCCAATAATAATTACAGTAACCGCACCCGAGACTCACTGGTCCTCACTGTGTGCCTACCTGTGTTAAAGTGACTGGAAGTCCCCAGTTCTGATGTCCTAGTGAAATGGAAATCCAAAATCTTAAAATCAACACTTGTCTGCTGTGTTAATTTGGGGACCTCACTTCATTTCTTGGAATCTCGATTTCTAGATCAACATGATAATTCTCACCCAGCAATAATGGTTATAAGAATTAAAAAATATACATTTGTAAAAGAAATACTGGGGTTACTGACCACAGCCTGTGAGGTCAATACCATCATCATCTTCATGCCATTCAGAGACCTGAGGTCCAGAGGGCTCTACCAGTTCACCCAAAGTTTACATGTCTTACGAGCAGAGGTAGGGTTTGAACCCAGGACTCTCTGTCTATGGTCTAATTGCATAACCCTGACACTCCTCCATTAGCAAAGCAAAACCAGAGTAAGCGACGATATGAAGTATTGCAAATACATTTCACAGTTACATTCATCTTGGCTACCGCTGAAAATATTTCTATGGACTTGGGCAAAGGAGCAGACTCGTTATCACCCACCTCATAGGAGTCACCTGAGGTGGCGGCACCTGCTTAGGAAGTGGCAGGACCAGCTCCCATTGTTTCTGTGCCTTGGAGACTCCCAGGGAGAATCCATGATGGGTCATCATTTCTTTAACCTACCTCAGTCCTGACAGCACATATCCCTGAGGAAAGAATGCTTCAGGACCAGGAAGAGGAGTTGCCAAGGACAATACAGGCTGTGCATTACAGCGATGAGAACCACAACAGAACAATGTCTGTCCTGGCTGAGTAGGCTAGAACATTCAGCAAATGACCACACAGTCTAGCCGTCCCAGGACATATCTAAGCAGACTGAGGGAGGGGCATGGCAACGCCACAGGTCCTCTGGGGACTCCTTAAACAACCAATATACCTTCTTTCTGTCCACACACTTCCACTTGCTGAAATTCCATATTCCTCACTCATGACAAGACCACCAAAAGGTATACTGCTCGGCGCTTACTTTACGTGTCACCTGCAGGCCTCCCTATCCCTTGCTGGTAAAGAAAATACAGGCTATGGTAGTCAACATACTGGTTGTTAGTTTCTGCTGCTTAAGAATTGAGGTGAAATTGGGCAGGTAACTGAACCTCTCTGAGCCTTAAGTTGTTCTTGTACAAAACAGAACTCAGCTCTGAGTTGAGGAAGTGATTAGGTGATATATTATGCCTGCTTGTCAGCCCACAAGGATTCAATGAAGGTCAGCTATTCTGCTTTTTTGTTAATTGTTTTCTCTTTGCTCCCACAACATCCTGGACAAATTCAACACACTTATTTCTTTTGGCTAGATTTCCTACACAAAAATGCCAGGGAAGGGGCAAGCAAGGAAGGGGCCATTTTAGCCAGAACTGCTAGCAAAGGCCTTTCTGTTGTATATAAGTGACATCTGAGCACAGGCCTGAAGGTGAGAGGGAAGCCCTGCAAAGACATAGGGAAAGTATCCTAGGAAAAGACCCATGCAAGGGCAAAGACTAGGGGATGCATGAGAACTTGGAATGGTCAGGTTGGTGTGTCTGAAGAAGTGGCACAGGGAAGAACGGAAAGTCAGAGGTCAGGCTGGGGGTGATGGGGTAGGGACCTGCAGGCCATGGTGGAGGCTGGATTTATAACTGTGATGGGATCTTAGGAAGTAAGCATCATTTGTCCTGCACGCACTGACTGAAAATGTGTCACAGGCACGACACAATTGTAAATAAACAAGGACAAAAAAAATTCGGGCCATCTGAGTGGCGCGTTAGTTAAGAGTTGGCTTGGGACGCCAGCTCTGAGCAGCAGGGCCCCAGTTCGGATCCCACATTAGGGCCAGTGACGCTGCGCCCTCCACAGCTAAGATGATGAACAACAGCTCTACTGGAGCTGGGCTGCCAATGAGTCACCTGCGATGAGGTAGGCTGCAGTAAGGCTGCAGTGGCTGCCTTAAAGCTACCGTGAGCGGAAGGCAGCCTACATGAGCTGCCAAGAGCCACCGTGAATGGTCTCCAGTGGCCGGAGACTGATCTGCCTCACCCGGGAAGAGCACAATGATATTCCCAGCATGGGCCAGTGAAGCCACGTCCTCCACAACTAGACTGAAAAGCAAAAAGACAGCAACTTGTCTGTTCCCCTTCCCCGGATTCCCCAACAAAATCTTTAAAAAAAAGAAAAGAAGTGAAATGCCTTTCTTGACCACCCTGCCTAAGAGCCCTCTCGGAACTAGCACAGAAGCAGCAATGCCCAAAACATCGCCCGCTCACCTGCGCCGGCTCCATCCATGCAGCCGCCATCATGGGACCCTACGGAGAAAGTGGGGCCCGGAGAGGTGGCGACCGAGGCAGCTCCAGAATTCAGCCGACCGCCACCCCCTTCCTGCCCAGAGCAGGGTAACCTCGCCTGACTGTCGCACTCCGAGCCTCAGTTTCCCCGTGTGAAATGCACACGAGGCCCAGGGCGTCGCGTCAGATCTGCGGGGACTGAGGTCGGGGCCCCGGCGGGCGCTCACGTGGCGCCCCTTCCCTACTGGGGCCGGGGAAGCTCACCCAGAACATTGCTCCAGGCCCTATAGCACGGGTGGCACGACCCGGCACAGGTAGATGACGTACATCTGCAAGGAACCAGAAATCCCGCCCCTGCCGGCGCGAGCAGCAGGAAACACCCCTCTCCTGAGCAGTCATTGCCCCGGGAGAAGGGACTCCTAGCCTCTTGGGTAATGTAGTTATTTTCCTAGAGACAACAGAATGTGGGGAACTGTCCAAGCCTGAGCGCCGCCTCAGACCCGCCTCTTCACAACTGAGGGGAAAAGGGGCAGAGGGATCGAGGCTCAGGAGGCAAAGGCCTTTGCCCTGGGCGAGTACATAGGCGCGGAATCAACGCTGGGAACTTGGCTTCTGCGCTCCGAATCCCCTTACTTGGGATGCGGACGAATGAACAGTCTAAATAACTGCCCATAGGAGGGTGCCGGAAGTCCCGCCCTGACATTTTACAGAACGCACAGACCTCAAACCCTCGTGCCTACTTTGACCCGGAGCCACCTCCACAGGATTCATACATTCTGAGTAAAGCAACTCCAGACCATTGTCAAGATAAGAATGTCCAAACCTGTAGTTTTTTTGGAAGTTTATTTGAGCCACACATAGGATATGCCTGGAGGCAAGATCTCAACAGAATGAGAAAATGCTGTTATTTGCAGCTTTTATGCATATGGAATTAAGGAGAGAACGTAAGGAAGATGACATGGAGATGGGAGACAGCAAGGTGGGAACTGGATTGTAGGATGGTTAACAAGAGTATGTGCTCCCTAGAGAGTAGTCACGTTTTGGAGGGAGGATTCTGAAAGTGTGGTCAAGCATTGTAAGTCTGACAACAGGCTTTTCAAAGGTGTGTTCACCTAAATGCACAGAAACAATGGGCAGGGCTTGCTTAAGGTAAAGATAAGCCTTTCACTAAAAGAGTTATATGCCTAGGGTGTGACTACTCACCATGACCTACCCAGTTAGGAATTTATGATCAGATCACCTTGTGAGGTTACTTTACCTAGAACCTCTTTTTTGTTCACACCACGGTGTGTCCCATATGCATTTCAACCTATGTCTGAACATTGGGAGAGGGTTTGTGACTGGATATATAAAATTTTGGGAGTTGTTAGCATACACTGTTATTTTAAATAATGATACTGGGTGAGACGAACAGAGAATGAGTGTAGGTAAAGGAATGGACCGAGGTGAACACCAGACAAACCCAACATTAAATAGTTGCAAACCAAAAACCAAAAAATTCACGTTAGGAATATTAACAATCCTTCAACAAGTATATTAAGAAAAGTCTTAGAAGTCACAGTCGGTGACTTTTTTTCTTCTTCAAATGACTATGAAGGTGAGAAAATAAAATTCAGCTTCTGATGAACTGAGGATACATACAGTTATGACAATGGGAACAGGTCAACAGCATTTAACCCTGCTGTACTGTCACAAACAAAGGAATTGACCTCCCCTTTCTCCTTTGCCCTCATGTATACAATGGAAATCACAGCACACATCATAAGTATTCATATTTATTTGATTTTTAAATAAAAACACAGAGGGAAGTGAGATAAATCTTCATTAAGAATTCCAAAGAATACATAGATATTCCTATTTCAGGTAGTGGAGTTTGATTCCCTTCCACCTGAGTTGGCTAGACTTAGTGACTAAGTATGGAAAAAGAACAGTAACTTCACATCACAGGTCAGGGTGATAGGATCAGATCATATAACCATTCCCTCTGCATAGACGCCTTTCCACATCTCTCAATTAGAAGTGGTCCCTCACCCCAACATGACACTGCTCTATTTCTCTTTTTTCACTCATAACAATTTGAAAATATATTTATAGATATTTACCTGTTAATTCAATAAGTATTTATTGAGTGCATATCTTTTGACAGGCACTGTTCTAAACTACGGGGATATATAGCAAAATTAAAAAAAAGTACATTCCTGTTCTTGAGGGTCTTTCACTGTAACAACCAATAATTTTAAAATCATAACAACAAAAAAACCTAAACAATATAGATGGTTAAAAGGAGGTAATGCTATGGAGATAAGAAAAAGAACAGTTAATAGTGGGAGAGTGGAACAAAAGCAATTTTGCAACATTAAGTAATGTGGTTGGGACAGGTTTAATAATTGATTAGGTCTACTAATCAATTATTAGACCTGTCAGACATTGATATCTGAGCACAGACTTTGAGGAGTGAAGGAGTCACCACGTGGATAGCTGAGGTGTTAGGTCTCTGAATGTTAGGTCTCAGAGACCCTGACTTGTAGATAGAGCCATGGCTGCAAGCAAAGTTTCTGTTTGCCTGAGCCTGCAGACAGATAGCCATGCTTGCAATAACAGAAAAAACACAACTCAGCTGCTGACCTGCAGACAGTCAACTTTTTCTGTTCAAACAATGCTACCCTGTCAGCACCACCCCTATATAACCCTCCTCACCTAGTCGCTTTTAGACTCAGCCCAGGCTGTAGCAGTCTTTGCTCAGCCCATACACTTCTCTTACAATAAACTTTCTTAACTTGCCTGACTGTGTGCGCTCCTTTATCGGCCGACCTATCATGAGGGAACAATGTCTCACATAGAGAACACCTAGGACAAGAGTACTGGGGTGTCTGAGGAAGAGCAAGAAGGCTAATGTGGCTAGAGCTACATCAGCAGGGGTTAGAGTGGTTCAAGATTCGAGACAAGTTGGAGAGATAAATGGAGACAACTTTTAGAGAGCCTCACAGGCCTTTATAAGGAGGTTGTAATATGTTCTCTGCAGGTTCTAAAATGTACCCAGGAATTGTTTAACCTGGTATGGTTAAGATACACAGACCTGGAAATGGTTGTCATTACTGAAGTTTACATTCACAGATCTTTAGAAAGGGGAGGCAGGGTGTATCACATTGCACCACGTGCGTGGGGAAGACCAGGATGGGTCAGGGGCAGGAGAGGAGAAAGCCTGACCCACAGCCGTTGTTTTCCACAGGAAAGGCAAGGCAGGGCCAGGGAAAACAGCTTAGGACTGGCTAACTTGAATACCGTCGGCAGACTTTGGGGCATAGGGACTTCCCTCTTTTTCTGGTACCAGGCTGAGATGACCAGGACAGAATATTGCCTCTTTAAATGTAAAAGCCAGAAAGAATGGGTGGTTCCAATTAGGGGCTATGAGTTGTTTAATCTGCATATGAAAAGAATGGCCCCTATGAATATTTTGCTCTTAGACCGTGGAAGGGTCATGAGAGGAGGAAGATCTGTTAGGAAGTTCCCTGCTTTCCATGTGTGTGAGGATGATGACCTAAAAACCAATGTAATGACAGGGGAGGTGCTTTATCACAAAGTACAAACAACCATTGATCAAATAGGACGAGTAATCAAATTAGCACAAAAATACAGATATGGGTGTAATGGCTTTATAGTATAGATTGGTTGTTCCTTTAAATCTATCCATACCCCACACTGCCCCCTTCAAATGTTAGGCATATGTCTGATGATACTATGGTTTATCTATTACAAAAATCCTTTCATACAAGTACATGCTCCGACAAATATGATTGTTTTGCTGTAATAGAGCTTAGGCCAAGGTACAGGGGGGTAGGCTGTGCAGGAAAGTCTTACTGAAGTCTTTGGTTGCTCAAATGCTGCACATTCCAAAGAAAAAAACTGGTACTTGACCAGCTTCAGGAAGACCAGCTGAGTCTCTAAATTGCCTGGGACCTGACTCTGGATTGATTAGGGCAAAGGTTAGGTTAAAGGGTGTGGGCTCTGGATTGGTTGGTTTGCATGTAAAAGGCATGCTCAGGTGAGTCTTTTGTTACCTCTAGGAATCAGCTAGCCCCTAGGAGGAGCAGTCTGCAGTATGAGCAAGGCGCCAGATGCCAAAACATGAGAACAAAAGATATGCTTAATACATGGACCTTCAAATTATAAACAGAGTGGACAGGAATTTCCTTAAAATCATCCAGCAGGTAAGAACAAGGCCAGGAAGTATTAGCTAGGTAGTCAGACTAGAGGGCCCATACTCTTGTCACTGCCCATTTACAATTTAGCTGAGACCATTCAATTGTGAGATGTGTAACACACCTGTGAGCAAACAGATTACTAATCTTTAACCCTCAAAACACAAGGATGACATCACTGAGGATTCTGGAGGTACCCCAGCTTCCCACAGGAAAGGTGGTCTGTGGGCTGGAGGGTGAGTACAAAGGGAAGCTGCACATACTCCCAGAGACCAGGTTCCCGTAGGTCTCCAGCATCATGTCCCTGTAGAGGGCCCTCCCAACCAGGGCCACCTGCTCCCACAGCCTCCAAGTGAAACTCACACACAAATCTGTAAATATGACTAAGCCTGCAGTAAAACACTCCTCAATTTCATGTTATGAACATTTAATGATACAGAAATGATTATGACTCTGTGTTCTTTAGTTTTCTCTTTCTTGAACCCAAAGTCTACAAGTTTCAACAGTAGAAACGGAGTAAAGGAGAAATTGTTGACATATGTGCACTGGAAATACACAGCATTGACCTGGCCATTACATCTTTGTAGACATAAAGGCAAACAAAGGGGATATTTGCAAGTTAAATCACTTGAAGACGTATCTGTATACATATATAGGTATCAAAAGATACAAGATCCTTTCTCAACATTCTCTGTACTTTCTCAAATTAAATCCTGACTGCTTTGTAAGACTTTCTACTGTGACTTAACTGATTGTTCTAGTTACCATGGTTTACGTGTGTATGTCTTCCTCGCAAAACTATGACTTATTTTTTGTTGTAGCAAACTGTATTTGTTAAAGATACGGTATTTGAACTTAACATTTTAGCACCATTCAAGTCACTGTGAAGAAGAGTTAACACAGCAGGCCTTAAACTGCTATCCTTTGAGCTTCAGCATTTGCCCTACACTGGAGTTTGGGAACTCAGATTTCAGGTTTCCCATAATTCCCAGAAATGACGAATGACTCAGTATGCCTATTGTTCGTGTAAACAATGTGGTGTATGCTGGTGACCTGCTATGCTTCTGGTGGTCTAGAATCTTGGTTATGTTCTATACAAAGAATGCCCTTGGGGCTGGCCAAGTGGCTCAGTTGGTTA